AGGGCTGGTCACTCGGGACCTTCCCGCCCTTCTGTGCCCCGGGACGCCCTGCTGCTGCTTGCCGTGCTCCCACTGTCCCGCCCCACCTGCAGCAGGGGTCCCCGCTGTCTAGTGGAAGCGCACAAGGAGAGGATACCCGGGACGAAGGTCCCTCCCTGTCCACTGCATCTCCCATCCACGTCGTTCCTAGTGCGCCAGCATGGGGAGGGATGACAGAGAGTGATGAGTCTTGGCTCCGCCGAGGGTGTGGGTGTGCGGGGAGGAGGGTGAGAGTGTGAGAGACCAGACATGGGTGGGTCTCTTGTCCGCAGTGGCCCCGTGCACGTCCCCAAAAGGACCATGCTGCAAGTCTGTGAATGGCTCTAATTCAGTGGGCTGAGGAGAAACTGGATTTCTAGGAGGAACGCCTTTGCCAAACCCGTGACGATCGTGCCTGCCGTCTAGATGCCTGTGGGCCAGTTCTGTGCCCCGCACTGACTGCCCTCGCAAAAGCCTGGTCTTGGCCTTCCTACTGAGAACCAAGAGGTCCCCAGGGCTCTCCGGCCTGGCTGGAGGGAGCGGGGCCTGAGGCCCAAGTAGGGGCTCGATTGAACCCGTCTGCGGAGGGTGTGGGCTCTGCCCCAGGCCTGAGCAGAAAGCAGAGCTCTGGGTCCCTCGACAATAGCTGTGACACTTTGGGTTCCTTGACCATCTTCCACGGAGGCCTTACATGCCCCTTCCTCTGTGCCTTCTCTGGCCCCAGTGGAGCCCGAGGGCCTATAGCCGTCTACACTGACCCACAAGTGGGAACAGTGCCCCGGCAGAAGGCCACACCTGCCTCTCCCCCAAGCCCAGCTCCACATCCCGCTGCGGGAGCTAGAGACACCCAGGCCCTCCACAACCATACTGGGAAACAGTTGGTCCTCCCACACGGTGGACAGCGACAGCAAGCGCTCCCCGCAACGGGACCCCTCGTAAGCAGGCTGGCTGTACACCCACAACAGGGAAGGCCTGGGAGTCTTGACACCCAGGCCCTTCCCCTTTGCAGGGATGAGCCCTGCAGCGAGGGGCTGCCCCCAGGAGTGTTTACACTTGTCCCCCAGTGGCTGATTCTGCCAGTTTTCCTGCTCCCCCCACCAGCCCCAGCCTTCCTTCCTGTCCCTTCCTCTTTCCACCTGGCCTCACTCCGAGGGCTCCTCAACCTTCTTGGTAAGTAAACCTGCCCCAGTCCCGGTTCAGCCCCTGCTCCCAACCAGGTGGGGGGTCTGTCCAGTCCCCTTTGAGAAGTCAGGCTGCCCTGTTCTTCTCCAAGCTTCTGGAAGTTATTAGGGGCAGCCGGCAGCTCTCAGGCATGGAGGCCCGCGATTCTGGTCGGTGGCCACCTGGATTCGGTCTGGGGCACGAGTGGTGAGCACCCACAGATGGCCCCCCCGGGTCAGCGCCCAAGCCTACAGCAGCCCAGGGTGGCAGCATGGGGCACAGCACACAGACCAGGGACCAGGGCCGCGGAGGAGCTACCGCCCCCGATTCCTCACCCTGCAGTGAGGCAAGTCCTGTGCCACCCTGCCCTTAGTGGCCTTCCCTCTGGGAACTCTGGGGCTCCAGACAGACCCCAACCCAGCCAGACAAACACCCAGTCAAGGGAGGGGCAGGCTGGAACAGAAGCAGAAAGAGCCTTCGAGTCCTAAGTCCTGGGCCCTTTCGTCAGGTTGGGGGTTCCCCTCTGGAGGGGAAGTGCTCAGCCCCGGGCCCAGTGCTTCAGTTCCACCAGCAGGAGCCCACACCCCTTTTTCACAGCACTGCTGTGACCCATCCTCTCCTCGCCTCCCCACCCCATCGTCCTGCCTCCCGCTCTTCTGGCTCATCCCCGCCCCTCCCTCCTCCTCCCCACACTCTCATTCCTGTCCCAGGCACAGGGGAGCCCTGGCGCTGCTCTCCCACCTTAGCAAGCCCCACCTCCCAGCCCTGCCGCCATCCACCCCACATTAACTGTAATTTTGTAAGAGGAGTGACTTGTTGGTTTAATAAATCTCTAGTTATTGTAATAATTTATTGGCTGCCGTAATGTATTCATTAGTGACCTGCCGTTAATAAAGAGTGCTAGCTTTCTCCAGCGCCAGCGTGATGCGTTGCGTCCGCACCTACAGGACAGGTCCCCGTGCTTGTCCCCCAGCTGGTCCCTAGGCCAGGATTGCGGGCCGCCTGGCAGACAGGCACAGGCTTCTGGGGGTGGCTGGCCTGACCTTGCTGACCCCTTGGGACAGTCACGAGCCTACCTTCCTGTCCTCGCGCGCTTGGTGCAGCCTCACCCCTGCCCTGTGGGATGCAGCAGTCAGGCCCACGGAGCTTTCCTGCGGCTGTTGGCCTTGGGGGGGTGGGCAGGAAAGCGACTGAGGGCAGGAGGGGGTGGCTGTCGCCCGGTTGTGATCTCTGGCTTCTTTCTCTTTTCTCAAGTGCTGCTGTCTCCATTTGGCATGTACCCCTGCACCTGTTTTCTCCGGGGAAGCTCTGGACCGGGTGGTGGGTTCCAGTCCGTGTGCGGAGGGAGGGCAGCCAGGCCTGCGGGTGCGGAGGGGGCTCAGTGCCGGCGCCTCCCCTCCCCCGTGTTCTCCCCGGGCTGCCAGGATCCGCTCTCCTCCAAGACCTCCCCACAAAACCAGGCCCAGCTATGCAGAGCACCTCTGCAGACCAAAGACCTTCCCAGTGCGGGCATCATCCCCGCAGCTAGACTGTGAGCTCTCAAGAGCAGGACTTGAGCTGTTCGTCCTCTAGTCCCCCCGCAGCCCAGCAGAGCCCTGCACACAAATCCAGTCGGCGCTGCTGGGCAGAGGCCGTGGAGGGGCCGAGTCTTAGCAGAGTGGACTTGTGGGGCCCCAATGGCCGGCCCCACGTCTGCTGCAAGCCCTTTAGGCCGGCCTGTGTGCCAAAGGGACGCAGTCCCCCTCGGCTCAGGTCACCCTGGTGATCCCTTCTGTCCTGCGAGCGCCCCAGCATATGTCCCCGCTGTATCCCGTGGTGTCCAAAGACCAAAATGATATTTGGGACAGTTGTGGAGTGGGCTTGGGCCTCTGGCTGTGGGCTTCCGTTCCTGGTTGACCAGCTACAGGACCAGGTGGCTCTGTGCGGTGGGAGGCTCTTTCCTGGTGGGTCCTTGGGTGCCCGAGCATCCGTCCTCCGCCCTCGGAAGTGGCGCCATGAGCCTGAGTATTCCCAGCCCCTGGCCTCGGGCTTCCGTTCACTTGGCCTCTGCCCGTCATCTGAACAGGCCCTGGGAGCCAGCTGGGGCCCGGCCGTGGCCCAGGAGCCACCTCCACCCCCCAATGCAACTGTGCAGATGGTGAGCCGATGCTGGGGGCCTGAGAACAGAACATGCTGGTTGAGGCCGGGTGGGTAACAAGACCATAGGTTTTTACTGAACTGGTTTACTGAGCAGGAGGACAAGGCTGTGTCCCACAGCTCACAGAGGAGCTAAGAACGTCAATTGTGTGAAGGCCCTCAAGGGGCAGGTGAGCCCTTGTCCTGGCAACTGGCCGGAGCTGTAAGAACAGGGTTTGGGGCTGCGAGACCCTTCCAGGTCATTGGGATACTCATGCAGTCACGGGAGAGGGGCTGAAGATGCGCAGACCTGGTCGTGACCCTCTTCTGACTTACTCCTCTAAAGGCCGCAGACGGCTTATCTTGGTGGGACAAACCCATTTGGGGTCATAAGCTCTAGCTCAGATCCAGAGCTGGGGCCACGTCTCTGCTCTCCTGGGTCTCGGCTCTGCCAGCTCTCCCTGTTCCCTAAGGGTCGTGAGGCAGGGGAAGTACTGAGCTGGGCGCTCGGCAGAGCGGGGCCTGGTGACTGGTGCCCGGTGAACGGTGGTGGCCACCCGCCCTCCACTCAGCTAGACAAAGGTGGCCACAGCGACTCCCCCAGCGATGCACTCAGCTCCCACTGCCTGCTGGGACCCGGGGAATGAGCTGATCCCCACGGAATAATGCCCCGTGGTGCCCACGCCAGCTCTCTGCGATGATTTGTCTCAATCTTCTTACTAAAGAGGGACAGCATGGCCTGGAGTTACCCATGGAGCTGGATTTGGAATGGAGAAGTTCCCCAGGCAAGGACAGGGTCCTTGGGGGAAAATGAGTGACTGTCCCTTCTCCCAGGAAGGCACATTTCGTGGAGGAACCACCTTCCCAGCAGAAATGGCTTCACTCCTGGAGAGATGTGCTCCCCTGCATTGATTGCCAAGAAACACTACCCAAGTTGATAAGCTTGGCACCCTACCATAGAATGAGCCAGTCCTTGCCCAGGGCAAGGGCTACCCGCCGGGATCTGCTCCACTGGGAGCGCCCACTATAGTCACTTCTTTGCTAGCCTTTGGCGTGCGAGACAGTACTTCATGTCTGCATTGCTTCAAAACCCTTGCAGCATCCGACATGGCTGAGTTGGACCCAGCCAGAGGAAGTCTGGCCAGCCCCCCAGAGCCCTTCCCTGGAGGCAGCCACAGTGGTGGCTCCCAAGGATGCTGGCAGGAGCCTGGCCTGACTTCCCTCCATCCCTCACCACTCCCAGAGGACATCACCGGCAGACTGGGTCCCAGAGGAAAGACCTGGGCTGGAAGTGCCACAGCCCAGCTCCCGGGTTCCATCCAGCACAGCCTCCCCCACCCCCACACACCTGCCCATGCAGGGAGCCCCTCCCGAGGCTGGGGACTCTGTCCCAGGGAGGGCCCCCATTGCCCTGGTCCCAGCCTTACCCAGGGAGCCATAACCACGACCCAGTCCAGTCTTTGCCATTAGTCCTGGGACAACGGTATAGACAACCCCGAATGCTGGACTGAGTGGCCCTGTGCCGTGATAGGTCACAGCTCTACTGTCGTCTTCGGAGGGGCCCCGGGGGCCCAGGAGCCCCTGCCTGAGTTGCTAAGCAGCCCCGTTCCTCCCTCTCAAACCTAATTCTCCTCTTCTCTTTTCCTGTCTCCGTGTCTGTCCGTCCTGCTGTCTGTCTGGCTGTCCTTCCCCACCTGGGGCTGCAGAACCGCATGCACGAGTCTCTCATGCTCTTTGACTCCATCTGTAACAACAAGTTCTTCATCGATACCTCCATCATTCTCTTCCTCAACAAGAAAGATCTCTTTGGTGAGAAGATCAAGAAGTCACCTTTGACCATCTGCTTTCCTGAGTACACAGGTGGGTGTCGGGGAGGCCCCACTTCCGCCCAGGACCTGGTCTCTTCCAGAGCCCCAAACCACAGCCCCAAACCAGAGCCCGGCTGCCCGTGGGTTCAGGGCCGGGCTGCCTGGCCTCTGCCCCAGTACGGCAGGGTTGCAGAGACGCGCAGTCGGGTGTAACCCGGTTTGGCCCTTCCCGCGACACAGCCCTGGGTGGGGTGGGAAGTAGACCCTCCCGATCCATTGGATTTGCCATGCCGTGACTTGAGAGCACCTTGGCAGGACTCAGGAGGCAGGACAGGACCACAGGCTTCCCCTTTCATCTTGCTTACCCTCTAGAAAAACTCTCCTGCCTCCCCCAGGCTCGCCCGCCAGTGGCGTCCCCTGACCCCTGCGCCAGCAGGCTCCTGGGCCACACAGCACCTTGGCATGAATTCGCAAGCATGGACACGTGGACTGGGAGGCAATCTGGGCTGCTTTTCAGCCCCTACCTGCTTGGGTGCATGGTGTGCAGCACGCCTGCCTGTGCCAGGCCAGGGCCTTCTACCCCTCCCCTACCACCTCTGCCCCCCTTGCCCCCACATTCCTGCTGTCCTCTTCCTGTGGAGGCCTTTTCCTCAAGTCAATCCACTCCAGCTCTCTGCACACCTCCTCCCTCCCTGCCTGCCTCTCTCCCATCTTCTCGGGGTAGGGGGGCACCTTCTCTGTCATCAGGCTCCAGGAGGATGCGTCACAGACCTCCCATCACTCCCGTGAAGCAGCTCTTTCTGAGGGGGCAGGTGAGGGGTCAGGCTGCCTCCATCAGCGGGCAGAGGGCAGCTGCTGTAGGATGTCCCGGCTCTGGGCTGCTGCTAAAGGCTGGAGCAGTGCTGATGGGAGGCCAGAGCCCAGCCTTCATTCTTCTGGGGACTGAGAAGCTTCTAGTGGCCCTTAGGGCAGGGGTAGAAGAGGATGTGTCACAAGCTGGCTCCGCCAGGAACCCACACACTGACAACCCCAGAGAGGGAGAAGGGCCTGGACTCGGCTCCCAGGGCTACACAGGTCCCTGAACCCCACCAGATTCCAGAAGAAATAGGGGCCGCCCCCTCCACCCCCTCTACTATGAGGAAGAGAGTCAGCCCTCTCATCCTTGGCGGGGAGGAGGACCCATCAGCCTGTCCCCTCATCAAGGCACCACACTGCTTGTGGATCCGCAGAGCGCCCCACCTCCATCCCGGGCACAGGCTCCTGGAGCCAGGCAGCCTGCCACTGTGGGCAAACCTGTCACTGTGCCTCGCCTTCCATCCAGGCATCGCTACCTAACAATAATGCCCACTGCTCGGGGTGGCCATCTGGGTCAGTGGAAGGAACAGAGCCAGGCGCCAAGCCTACTTCCCGCCGGCTGTCACCCTCCTAGTGTTACTCAGAGGATGAAAACCAAGAAAGGGGAACTGGCCCTGGAACTAGAGAGAGTCTGGGAGGGCATGGGGCGAGCCGGAAAGGCCTGGCCCCGAACTGCCCCGGGGCTGAGGGAGGCTCTGCCTGTGGGCGGCCTGGCTGCAGCCTGCTCTCACCGGACACTCCTGCCCTCCCGCAGCCTCAGCTGAGGCCCTTTAGGACCAATTCAGGTTCTTAGAAAGTGGTGGTGACCAGAGAGGGACTTGGAAGCCACGGGCCCCAGCACGTTTCCTGAGGCCAGCGCTACCCTTGCAGGGCAGGCTCGACCCTAAGGCTCTTCCTTGTCCCCAGGGTCCTTCTCCCTGGGAGCCCAGTTTGGGACCTGGTCCGAGCACTGGTCAGTCTTGGTGCTGGGGGGTATAGGGCTCTGGACGCCCCCAGAGAAAGTCAGCCTGAATGTGGGAAAACGGGGAGTTTTCCAGGGCCTCCAGAGGAATCAAGCTTGAGTTCAAACAGTCTCGCTGGGTAACAAACAGTCCCTGACACGGTGGCGCATGGGCGCCAAGGCCCGTGGGACACAAAAACGGGCCATGGGGCAAGGGGCAGGGGCGGCTAGGGGTGTGAGGTGAGCTCGAAGGGATGGACGGACCCCGCAGATGCTAAGAAGCCACAGCTGGGCACCCCGCCACCTGGGTGGGGCGCCCCATCGGGCTTCTTCCCTCCATCAGCGCCTCGTCTTGGTGCTCTCTGGGCAGGAAGCTCCTTGACGGGGTCCACCCGGGGCCGAGTCTAATCTCTGAGCTGCCGCTGACTTGATATTTTCACCACGTTTGCCACTCCGGGCACTTCTGCTTTTGGTCCCAGCTGAGAGTGGGGTTGAGGCCTCTGCCCTGCCTCCCACCTCAGAGACCTCCCCACCCGCTTAACTTCGACGTCTCCTCTTCGAGACTCTGGTCACAGACGCCCGAGCCCCAGTTCGCCCCCCGTGGCTCACACCTTACCACTGGAGAGTGGGCCAGGGCGGGCTAGGGCAGGGGGAGAAAGATCCGATCGCTTCCGTGCTGGCCAGATCCCAGCTGTGCTAGTGAAAGCGGGGCATCTTCCTTCCCCGGGACTTTCAGGCACTTCTCTGTTGGTCCACCTTCCATGGCCACTGAAAGCGGTCTGCAGGGCAGAACTGCAAAGGTTTGGGTTGTAGCTGGCTGGAAAACTGCCCTTACCAGGCCCCGGCCAGGATCCTAGGGGACCGCCAAGGGCTTGTGGAGGGCAGCCAGGCCAGTTACACACAGCAAGCCCCTCGAACTTCCCACTCAGGGAGACCACTGCTCCCAGACCCCAGCCCTGCCGAGGGGCTTCTCGGGAGAGGAAGCCTTAGAGAAAGGAGCACAGCCACAGCTCGTCACCCACCACAGCCTGGGACACCACGAGTTCTGGGGCAGCCCCTTCCCAGGATCTCTTCCACCAGAATCCCTGTCCTGGTTTAGAACACGGGTGAGCGTGGGGATGCGCAGCCTGGGCCCCAGCCTCGGTGTGCTCCCCTAGAAAGCAAAAGGGGTGACTATGGCCCTTGCCCTCCCAGGGCTCCTGGGCGGATCCAGTGTGGAAACAGAGTCAAAGGCCTTACAAAGGCCAGAACCGACGAATGCTAAGCTGATGGGGTCTTTCCTGAAAGATGTGACCATGCCCGGAACCGCACAGCCCGCGCCTCTGCCGGGAGGGGGTTCCCAGCCTCTCTCCCAGCCCCCCTGCCACTGCGGCTCTCACCGGGGGCCTCTCCCCTATTCTGTCTTGTTGCAGGCCCCAATACGTACGAGGACGCGGCCGCCTACATCCAAGCACAATTTGAAAGCAAAAACCGCTCACCCAACAAAGAAATTTACTGTCACATGACTTGTGCCACAGACACGAATAATATCCAGGTGGTATTCGACGCCGTCACCGACATAATCATTGCCAACAACCTGCGGGGCTGCGGCTTGTACTGACCTCTTGTCCTGTATAGCACCCTATTTGGTAATGACTCCAGCACTCACAGAAAAGCTTGCGCGTGCACACACACACACACACACACACCACTGACAAATGCAAGTTGGTAAATAAACTTTAAAAAGGTATAACAAGACCTTATATATATACAAATATATATTAAAAAAATTCTTTTTAGTTCGTATTAGAAAGAGCTTCCGACAGAACTGACCACCATCCCATAGATCATCAGAGTTTTCCCGGGACAGCAATTGAGCGTGCGTTTGTACGCGTGCACACGTGCGCGCGCACACACACACACACGTCGTGGTGGGGTTCCTGGTTTGGGAGTCCATCCTTTTAAGAACAGCCACGTGATTCTACTCTGAGACCCATTATCTGTGAGCAGAGGGAGGGCAAAGAGAGGCCTGGCGGGAGTCCAGCCTCTCTGCTGCCACTCGCCCGAGGCTGTGTGGTCTCAGTTCTGTCCTGCTCTCGTGCAAATTCCAAAGCCCTTCAAAAACTGGCCAACACCCTAAACCTCTCCCTGCCCTCTACTCCCAACAACAGGAAAACTAAGGATGCTTCTCTCTTGGGTGGCGGTGGTTGTTAATTTCAAGGATTTAGAAGAATCATTGCTCCGACCAATCCACTGTCTCTTGAGTTTTCTTTATTCAAAGGCGAGAGTTGGAGGAACTGGAGACTTGGCCTGCTTTCTAGAAGCAGCTGAGGGGAGGGGACATTGAAACAATGGCTGCAATTCACCTGCAGAGTTGAAGCCAGCCCCCTGGAGAAGAGAAGGGCCCAGAGGGGGCAGGGGGGAGGTGAGGACAGCAGAAGCCTGGGGAGGGCCGGATTCATGTAGGCCTGACCATAGTCAGGGTCCCGTGGGGTGAGGCCTCCCAGGGGGCCTGGGCTGGGCTTCCCTGGAGTTCTTGATCCCTCTTGTGATGCTGCCCCGTCTTGTCCTACCCCCACATTATTAAAAACTTTCTAGGGTTTTGTGTTTTTGGTTTTTTTTTGGTTGGTTGGTTGGTTTTTTAAAATTAAAGAAAATGGTCAGACTGGACCCCCTTATCTCTCTCTCTACAGACTGCTTCACGGACTCTTTGCTGTTGACGTTGATCTCCTGGTAGCATGACCTTTTGGCCTTTGTAAGACACACAGCCTTTCTGTATCAAGCCCCTGTCCAACCTACGACCCCAGAGTGACTGACGGCTGTGTATTTCTGTAGAATGCTGTAGAATCTGGTTTTAGTTGAGTCTTTACATTTAGAATTTGAAAAGAAAAAAAAAAAGAACATTTCTCATGTGCTTTGTAGCTTAAAAAAAAAAAGGAAAAAGAAAAATCACTTCATCCATTTTTTTCTTTTTTTTTCTTTTTTGGAAATAAAGCAGCATACACATCTGCACCTGTACCCCCATCCATCCCGTGTAGAGCCCCCCCCCCAGCCACCCTCCCACACCTGCAGAAGTGCCACCTATCTGCCCGCCCCTCCTGGGGACGTGGGTCCTGGGGAGCGTGGTCAGGCTGAGCTTCCCAGAGTGCCCCACCTGCCGTGTGCCAGCCCGCCCCAGGCTCACTCCAGGTTCACCTAGAAAAGCACAGCTCTCACTGGCCAGTAGCTGCCTAAAAGAATACCAATTGAACATATAGATAGAGCCCTACAGAAAACCATTTTCCCACCAACCTCCTTTCTACCGATTCCCTTTATGATTTGTTTTTGGTTTTGTTTTCATTTTTGCTTTTGCTTTTGTTTTTGTCCCAATGAGCACTCCGTATCACATACCGGATCCCGTATCACATACCGGATCAGCTTTCATAGTCTTTGGGAAACGGGGTTGTGGATTTTTTTCCTTTAACATTTTTGCTTCTCAGTCTCTCAGATGGATGCTCCCTTTGTGTGTGTGCCCCTCTCCCCCTTCTCCTTTGTTTCAGTGACCTGTGTTCGCTCCTTCTCATGTGGGGATGTTTGTGCTGCAGATAAAAAAACAACAAAAAAAAATTTTTAAATACCACACGATGGAAAAAAAGCAAAAAAAAAAAATTTTAAAAACAGATGGAATGTAGTGTTTACACGAAAGCCAGTTTCCATGATCAGTCCTTTGTCATTTCTACTTTGACTAGTATCCAAACCCCCAACCTCTTCACAGTGTCACTTTTAAGACTTACTATTGGCTGAAGAAGACCAGTCATGGCCATTTCAGATAAAGAGGAGGCAAAAAGACAAAACACACAAAAAAATTAAAAATACAGAAAAAAAAAAACTTGAAAAAAAGGAAAAAAGAAAAAAAAAAAACAGCCCACGGGTCTTTCTAAGCCTTTCTATTCCCAATCGGTGAGGTTTCTGTGATATCTTACACACTGCCAGTCTACTTCTCTGACTAATGGAAAATTCATGTGTAGCTCAATAAAGAGAATGTTTGTCTGTATTCCTGAGTCTCTCACCCTCGGGCTTCATTCTGACAGGAGGGAAGGAGGGATTTGACGGGGCCAGACACTGGGAGGCTGGCTGCCGGATAAGGATCTTCTCCCCACCCCCCCCCACCAACATGCCAGACCTTGTCCACATCCCCCTTTCCCCCCACCAGTGTTGCCACCAAGCGGAGCCCACTGAGCTCAGCCACCTGGGAACAAAGAGGGCCTAGGAATGGGCTGGCCATTCCCGCCCTGTGGATGCCCTCTTCCTCCCGGTCCCCCGCCTCCCCTCACTCAGCTGGTTCGAGGGGAGGGTAGAATTGAGGACTGGAATGGGGGGAAAGTGGGGGGTGGGATCGGCAAAGCAGGTAATTCCGAACTTTGTTAAGATACCGTCCTGTTTCTTCCCGCTGAAGTGAGAAGGTGGGTGGTCGGTCCTAACAAACAAGGCCAAGTTGCCTGGGCCTCCTGCACCTACAGGGGTCACATCCATCCACCTGGACACCTTTAAAAGCCTCCCCTACTGCACCCGGCTGCCAGGAAGCCCACCGCGGGTGGAACACGCAGAATAACAGATCAGCTTAGCCTGGCGCAGGGAATCAGACTCTCCGCGCCTCCAGGCTGCAGGCCTCCCTAGCTCGCCGGGTTTGTGCTCTAATAACCAGCAAACCACTTGAGACTGGGACCTGGAGGGGACCCAGCCCAGCCAAGTCCTTGTATCATGTCCACGGATCACTTCTTAGCCACACAGTGCGACAGCCATCTAGGGGGACAGGAGGGCCGCAGACAGGTCCGTTGGCTGGATTCCCTCCACACACCAACAAATGAAATCCCAAGGGTCTTTTGAGTTTTGGGGCGGGTGCGGTAGAAGTCTGTCTATACTGCGGCGCAGAGCTAGCCGATCCGGCACCCTTGGCCTTCCTCCCCTTCCTGTGCTTTTCCCACCAGCAGCCCCTGACCAGCCTGCAGGGGGAGGCTCCCCGCCATCTCTGGTGACAGCAAGGTTGCCCACATGGCCTGCAGCTGGACAACATGACACCGGTCTGGGGGCAAAGGATGAAGACAGAAGGTCGAAGGTGCCATGACTTTGTCTACCTGAAGTTCCCTAAAAATGAGCCATATTCCAACGGTGTTCTTTCCTACCTCTCAGATGAGTTTTGTAGGTAAAAACAAACAGGACTCTGCCCTATCCTCTTTACAAAGTCAGGAAGCATTTTGGGGGAAAGAGTGCAGGGAAAGACGAGTCAATTAGGACAAGGAGCTAGGGGGCGGCAACCTCTGCCTCAGGGTTTCTAGAAGCGCCACGAGTGACTCCAGTGCGCAGTCGGGTTGGAACCACTTCTCACCTACCACGAGTAGGGGCGATGAGATGAGACAGAGGCTTCCAGACGAGGAAGGGCGGCAGGGCAGGCGGGCAGAGGTCACCACTCGATGTCACCGCTGGTCACAAGGCTGTGGCTCCCTGCACATGCTGTGCCCCGCTCGGCAGAGCCCGCGGCCTGCCTTCCACTCCCGAGAGGACGGCGTCCCCTGGCTGAGGATGACAGCACATGGTCTACACAGCTCTGGTAAGAAATCAGGTCCGTGTGGCCACCTGGACACCTAGGATCTCTACCAGCACAAGGAAGACATCCACGAGGACCACCGTTCTGGGGTTCATAAAAGCCTCAAAATTTGGGGCGGGGGCTGGGGGTGAGGGACTGAGGAGAACCTAAGATGTCAACGAAACAGGGCCCATAAGAAAATGGAGCAGTAACAGGGACCACTTCCAAAAAAGCGGGAAGAGGGCAAGGGTAAGTCCACTGTCACTCCCCACAGCACCTGTTCGCAGCTGACGAACCTGAGCTGGAGCCCCGGAGACCGCCAGTGCATGGGAGACAGCACAGGATGCGCCCTCCCCTGCCCCAGTGTGGCAAGACCCTGGTATGGCCTCCAGCCACCGCCCTGAGCCTCTGTCCCAGATGCCCCCAAGAAGTGACAAAAGCCAAGCGACTGTACAGTGCCCAGGATTCTTTACTGTCCAGGTACAAAATCTAAGGGCGCGCCGAGGGCTTCTCTTCCTGGGTCACTTTAAGCTACAGAAGGCAGGTTTCCGCTTCGATCACGGGCGGACTGCTTTATTCCAATGTCTCAAGACCCTCTGAAACGATCTCCAAGCCACTCCCTCTTTTCACACTTTTGAAACCTAAGAACACACAGAATGAGGGTCATCTCTAATGTGTGCAGCACCCAGGATGTCAGGATGGGGAAACACCCTCCATCAAAGTGGGGTTCAACTCCGGCCCCTCGGAAAGAGACTGCCTTAGCTTCCAGCCACACACAACACACTAGAAGAGTCTGCGTTTTATTATTATTATTGTTTTACAATAAAAACAAATAGCTATGCTCTCAGCAAAACAAAACCAATTTTTTTAAAAAATCACAGAAATCTACTAACAGCATTTCAAGGTAAGGCTTTTGAAAGATTTCTTCAAATAAATTATCCTGGCCTAAACATTTACTCATCACTCTTTTCAATTACTTGTCAACATTCCAAAAACTTTCAGTTATGTAAAATACATTTAACTTTGCCAATAATTTTAGATAACACTGGATTCTTCCCCAAAAGACTATCATAAAACTATGCTTTAAAACATAAAAAAAAAAAAAAATCTTAATCCAAGAGGACATAAAACTGAACTATGTAGCCTGTGATTGCGTGTTCCAAATCCTGGAAGTTAAACGTGTGAAGAATTTGAAGACCAGGTTCAGGACCCAGGTCTGCTCCGAGGCAGGTGGCTTCAACGTCCTACCTATGTTTAATGAAACCACCAGGAGCAAAGTGACAAACAGGAAGAGCTCCGGGGGAGACACAAGAGAGATCTCTCTTTCTCCGAGGAAGCCCTCTAACGCTGACTGGCCATCGCGTAAGGTCCTCCCTCCTCTTCTCTAAAGACCAAATCCACAGGCTTCGGCATCGCCTCATTCACTTGCCCAAGGAATTCAAACCCTTACCCAAAGCCTGCTGCTCAGCCCGTGTCTGGGGTGGGTGGCCATGAACTCCAGAGCCGGGGACAGACACGCAGGGGTTCTCATGAGCTGCTGGAGCCCCAGCGTTACCAGTAAGAAAGCCAGCTTTGGGTCAGGGCTCGGCGGGCTGTCCCAGATGGACTGGGACATGGCAGGCCGCCACCTCCCACACTAGCACCCTGGCCTTTCCTCTCCTCCGCTCCACCCAGCAAACCAAGAATCACTTCTCCGAGATGCCCGGCCACCCTGGGGCTCTGGGGGCCTGGGGCTGTGGCCTTGGGGGTGCCTCCCCATCGAGAGCGGCGGTCTGACCACCAAAAGTACCCAGTGGTGAAGTCGGCCCAGGCCGCCCGCTGCCCAAGGCTCTTCGGGAGCCCGGCCTCTGCCCTGCCTGCCAGAGCTGGAGCTAAGGGACACCAGCCGGCACAATCCAGGAATCGGAGCTGCTGGCTGCGGGTGCCTGGCCGCCCTCTTCCTCTCAGTCACCCCATCCACCCCCGCTAAGAAGCCCAGTCAACGCCAGAAGAGATCAAGCCTCGAATTAAAATGCGCAGTGTTTCTAAAGGGAAGAGAAATGTCACATACAAAGTATTACAAAAAAGGATTAAGTTTGTCAGCTGTCCAAACACTATTAAGACCACATGCTTTATACAGCGGCAGCGCGGCCGAACCCCTCCTCGGACAGCGGGCAGAACCGGGGCCAGGCCCGGGCGGCGGCGCTGCTGGAGGCGACGGGGGTGGGGGTGGCGGCCGAGCGCTAGGAGATCTGCTGCTTCTGGAGCCTCCGTTCAGCGGCCGCGGCCAGCATCCTCCGACGCAGGGTCACAGGGTCGGAGGTCGTGCCTTCTGATGACAGGCA